ATCTTGCATTTATTATAATTAAAACCCATCTTCCAGTTACGTGACCAACTCACTAAATGATCTTAATCCTTTTGTAAATCAGCAGCATCTCCTTCACAGCTAGTAACACCCAATACCTTAATATCATCTGCAAATTTAAAGTAATTTATTGACTATCCCTTCATCTATACTTTGTAAATCGAAAAGAGCAAAGGTCCTAAGACTGAGCCCTGAGGTACCCCACTTGTGACATTAATCCAGTTTGATTGAACTCCATTTGTAACAACCCTCTGCTTTCTTCCATCCAGCCAATCTTCTATCCAATTTGCTAACTTATCCCTAATTTTTTTACAAGCCTTTTATGTGACACCATGTCAAATGGTTTCTGAAAATCCAGATACAACAAATCTACACCCTTACCCTTATCTACATAAGCAGTAACCTTTTCAAAGAATGTTAAAAGATTTGTAAGGCAAGATTTTCCCTTAGTGAAACCACAACTGGTGTAAGACTAATTGTTCTATAATTACTGGGACAATTTTTATCACCTCCCTTGAAAAGAGGAATTACATTAGCTATCTTCCAGTCCTCTGGTACCTGCCCATTATTCAAGGACTCACAGAAAATAGTAGCAAGTGGTCCACATATCCAATATTTAACCTCATTCAAAACCCTTGGGGAAATATCTGGCCCAGGAGCCTTAGCATTTTTTAAACTTTCCAATTTTTTCTTAACCAGAATTAATGCAGTCATATTGTTTGATCTCATTTCCATTTATCGATTGATCAAGATGTGGAATACTGCTTAAATCTTCATTAGTAAAAACCGAAGAAAAAGCAAAATTTAATAACCCAGCCATCTCATAATCATCAGATACTAGCCTTCCTTTATCATCCATCAAGGGTCCTATCCTAACATTTTGTTTCCCCTTAGTGTATTTAAAGAAGTCCTTTCTGTTAATTTTTACATTTTCAGCCAACTTTTTGTCGTATATCCTTTTTAATGTCCTAATTTCCTGTTTCACCAACTTTCTCGATCTTCTACAATCTTCCAAGTCTCCTGTCATATTGACCTTTCAGCCATTCATGGCTAACAGTACAGAAGCTAGTGACGTGGCACACATGCACTCATGTTATCATATCCAATAGTGTTAAACTGACCTTTGTTTTTACAAAATGACCTCTCTTGGCTGTGTTTTAGTAGACCAGTATTTTGTATAATACAGTTACACTTCAATTATTATACATTATTTATGTATATAGATTATTGTTATTTAGAAATAAGTTCTTGAAGTTATTTTTCTTAAAACATGGAACAGTAAATAAAGAAGTAAAGCAAACATTTATCTCTTCTAGTTACAACCTTTGTACTCGGTTGCTGCTTGATGTAGGTTGCTAAGCCTTTTAAAATTTCACACATGGAGGATATGAAATGATTAGTTTTTTTAGGTTTTATATATACAGTTGAATAACTTAAAAATCATAAATTACTATATCAATGCCACAGAATTCGAGCAGACTAAAAAAACAAAACCTACCTCCTCAATCTTGGTTCAAAAGAAAAAGATGGCATCCTAAGACTTTAAAATGACTAAGAAAGCCATTAGGGGGACATTCTGAGCTTTCGATTTTTTATTCATATCATAAATAGAAGTAAATGTATATGAGGGAACATTTCCAAAATTGGAAAGAGTTGGGTGGGGTGCCACTGTTTGAATCATTACATGAGCAATATCTTAGCAAATAAAAAAGACAAGGCCTTATTTTATATTCTAGCTTGTCAATATCTGTAATTTGAGTTTCTAATTCGTACAAAACTATAGACTTAGTATTTTGACTTCACAAACATCTAATCTGAACCAGTGCTGCATTCAACATACCATGCAAAACACAAAAATAGATGTTTATGTTTTTCAATATTTATTTTTACATTAAGAAATTGAGTAATGTATAGTAATAAAATTTGAATTATAATCTACAGTTTGATACCAAACTTATTGACAAAAATTCATAAAATGGTAGTTCAATAAAATTTTGAATGCAAGTCAACAAATGTGATAATGGCCTTTCACCCGTGACCCATCTGAAAAGGGTTACGATCAGTTTGTCAAATATCATTGTAAATGACTTGCAGGGCTTAATGTTTTGATTAATATTATCATAAAAACACTTTGAAATTGAAAATTGGTGAATTTCCAACACTGCTTGTTTGCATCCACTAACATCCCATCCCTGTAAGTTTTATGAACAAAGCATAATGTCATGTGTACACAGCCAAACTTTGTAGTGAGATAAATGTTGCATTTTTGTACTCGTAGTTTAATTATTAGTTATTCACTTCTGTATCTTAATTTCCCTCATCTTTTGAATTAGTTTTATAACTTTGATCTATGTCACACTAAGCCTTCAGTTATTGACTTGTTTGTGTTGTTTACTGTCTCTACCTGTTTCAACACCCATTGTAAGTAGCTTATCTAAAGTAAATGGGTGAAATCACTCATTTTCTTTGTAAGACACAATAAATAGGGGACTCCAAAAGCATTTAGTAGGATTAATTGCAATATGGATGGTATTTTTGTTTACATTTTTTGTGACTTTTAGACCCACAAGCTATTTTGCATAAATAGTTGAGAAAAATAGTTAAAAAGCCAGTGGCATCCATATTCATTGTAAGACAAAATTTGATTGGATTTTGATAGACGACTGATCATTATTTTTATGTTAAAATTTTAAAGTACACAAATGGTAGTTGTTTATTGATGTAGTTCATGAATGTCAAATCATGTATATTGTTTTAATACTAGGATGTTTGCATTTCAGGTTACTTCCACTTACCACAGGTTGCAGAAGATAAATACGTCATGGTCATGGATACTCCAAGTCCTCAGTGTGTTGGTCGTGAATTTGTCAGACAGTACTACACTGTTATGAACAAAGCTCCCTTGTATCTTCATAGGTATTGATGCCTTTTTCAGCTACCATGTTGAAGGCAAAAAATCGTTCATTGTTTAGATAGCTGTATCTTCTGCTATATTATGAGTTAATTTGAATTATCTTGCACTTGTAAATGATGTGTATACATGGGATGTAGTAAATCCTCCCATGACTATTCATTGGAATATCATTATTAATGTAATGGTAATTGGATAGCAGTTAATACAGCTGTAAATATTAAAGTAATTTTGATACTTTAATTTTGTGTACTAGTAAATTGTATAGAAGAAAACTAGCATAAAATAATTTATATAGGTTTCTTGAATTATGAATAACAACCTCCTTTTACAATGCTGAGAAATACTGTTTTTATGGATGAAAATGAATCATTCTCTATCATTCCCTTTGATATTGAATATGTAACCTCTCCTGTCTTTTCACTAGAACTATTCTATTAACTCTCTCACTATAGGGTCAGACCAAGGAACCGACCTCATAACCATTTTGTGCTTGTTATAGTTTTCATACTATAACTTTTAATATAGTATGCGTATCTACACAAAATTTTGCATATTATTAGTAAACATTACAAGGCCTTTTTACACAAAGTATCAGATTTTTTAAGTTATGATTTGCTTGTGCATTTTTTCGTTTTGAATGTTGACTGTCCAACATGCAAGTTAATTTGGATTTTAAGATTAAAAATACTTTTTTTGTACCAGAAAATTGTCAAATTTCACATGTGAAATCTTTATAATCTCCTAATAATCTTCAGATAAGTATCAAATGTTTTTTTAGACAAAACTGTATATTTTATCTGTTATTTTCACAATTGTATCTCTGTATGGGTTTGGTCGATATGACTGATCTCGCAACCACCATAAAAAATTTGAAAATTATATGAATACGCTTTTGTCATTCTAGAATGACTACAAATTATAACACTAACATTACAGAAGTTGCAATGCCACGGAGCACGTGCACTTGTTACCATATCCATTAGAATAAAACTGACCTTTACAAAGTGACCTGTCTGGTCTTTGTTCTAGTGGACCAGTATTTTGTAAAATACAGTCAAATTTTAGTGTGTGTGTGTGTGTATATTATTATTACTATTTACAATTACTTAAATTTCAATTATTTTTCTTAAAACATAGTACAGTAAATAAAGAAATATAGAAAACGATGATCTCTTTTACCAACAAAATTTTTACTCACTTGCTGTAATTTATTAAGCTTTGTCAAATTTCGCACTTGGAGGATGTAAAATAAAATACTTTTTTTTAGGTTTTATATATGCATTTTGAAATTAAAAAATCATAAATTACTATATCAATACCACAGAATTCCACTGTAATTTATCAGGCTATATTTGGGTCTAAAAAACATATTTCGAGCCCCATTATCTCTTGCCTCTCCACTTCGATTCTACCATGATAAGGAAGGTTTTCCCATATAAACACTTCACAGAGGCTAAGAAAACTGTGAGGGACATTCTGAGCTTTTGATTGGTTATGTACACATCATAGAGTGGAATAAATGTACATAAGCAAGTATTTCCAAAAATTTAAGAAGGGTGGGACACCTTCTTTGATTCACTAAATATAATAATATATCAGAAAATAGAAAAGATAGTATCAGTAATTTGAGTTTCTAATTCATAAAAATCTGTAACTTTGTATTTGGACATCAAAAACATCTAATTTGAACAAAGCTGCATTCAATATACCACGTACCACACAAAAATTGATACTTATTTTTTGTTTTGTATATTTACATTTAAATTAAGAAACTAACTAATGTATAACACTAAAATTTGAATTATAATCTACAGTTTGATACCAAACTTACTGACATACATTTATAAAATAGTAGTTCAATAAAATTTTGAATGTAAGTGTACAAATTGACATGCCCTTTAACCCCTGACCATAGGAAAGCCCATAGCAATAGGGTTAATTGACATAATCAGTTACCTACAAGCATTATTAAGTGTCATGTAAAATAATAATGTATTAATAAATCAATTAATGTTGCAAAAATCAAATAATTGAAGTTAATGTTTATTATTACTGTTTTTGATTATTGCAACCATCCAAGTAATTGAAATGCCATTATGATTTATTTTTCATTTATCAAGGTTGTTGAGCTTTGTCAGTTAATGTTATTACTCATGAAAATAATCAACCAATTGAAATTAGAGTTTCCAATGATCACTATTTTCAATTATTATAATTATCTTAATCTCATGAAAATAATCGAGTAGTTGAATGCAATCTATTGATGAGTCTGATGATAAATTCTTGACAGGCTCGCTCATTTTGACTGGTATTGTAACTGCCAGGAAAGTATCCATACAATAACTTTTAATGTCGTGGGTGATTCTTCATGAAATTTGGCAACCTTTTAGTAAAAATTACTCATTCTTTGTACACAGAATATCTGATTTTTTTAAATTAAGTATTTTTAATGAAGATTTGTCCATGAATGTACAGAGTCAGTGTTAACTAATCCAAGTGCAAAGTTATTTCCTTAAGATTAAAAAATTCTTGTTTTATCGTAGTTTTGTATTTCATTTGCATAACCTTTAAAACCTCATAAATTAATATCAACTTTTTGTTTCATTAACCCTTTTGAGATGGGTCACAGGTGAAAGGCCATGTCATCTTGTTTGTTGACTCTTATTCAAAATTTTAGTAAACTACTATTTCATGAATATATGTCAATAAGTTTGGTACCAAACTGTAGATTATAAGTCAAATTTCATTAATATACATTACTCAATTTCTTAATGTAAAAGTAAATATTGAAAAACACATAAACATCTATTTTTGTGTGTTGCATGGTATGTTGAATGCAGCACTGGTTCAGATTAGATGTTTATGAAGTCCAAATACTAAGTCTATAGTTTTGTACAAATTAGAAACTCAAATTACAGATATTGACACGCTAGAATATAAAATAAGAAGGCCTTATCTTTTTTATTTGCTAAGATATTGCTCATGTACTAAATCAAACAGTGGCACCCTGCCCACCTATTTTCATTTTTGGAAATGCTCCCCTATATATACGCTTACTTCTGTATATTACATGAATAACCAATCAGAAGCTCAGAATGTCCTGTAGTGTCTTTCTCAGCCATTTTAACAGGCATGGACACCATCTCTTTCTTTTGAACCAATATTTCAAGTAGGTAGGGTGTGTCTTTAGTCTGCTAGAAATTTCATATTTTTTAGATTAAAATTAGGGATGAATGGATAGTAAAATTTGGCCCGTGACTGGGTTCTTCCCTTGCCCATCTCCTCCCCCCCCCCCCAAAAGAAAACAACATACAAAAAATTAGAAACAAAATAAATTTATGTTTATTACATTTATTCAAATAATCATCAATAGAACATTCCAGTTTTACTTGCAAAATGCCTGTATTTTTGAAATTTGTTTAAATTGTACTTAAGGAACAGTAGCATTTTTGGTTAAAGCCTTGGCCTTTTGTGTGTGATAATGTTACCAGCAGTGCTAAAAGCTCATTCTCTGTCTACACTGGTTGTAGCCGATATTCTGGCCATTGTGGGAAATTGAGCTTCATTTGACTTCCAAAAGTGAGGCAAGTGAAAGCAAATGCAGAAACAGTCATGTTCACACATTTTAGAATCATTATTCTGATTAATGCCTAGCCCCAACTTCTCAGACCCTAACCCCTGTTGTTCTCAAAACTCCCACCTTCCCCAGAAATCCACTTCTCAAGCCATGCCTGTTATTAACCTCTATTGTTCTCTGAATCCCCAACTTTCAGTGGCAGGTCAGTCTTTGTTACTCGTAACACATGTTTTTTAACTGAACCAGTTATTGATTGTAACTTTCAGTACTGTATAAGTTGCCACAAAGATTAGGGCTCAGATGTCAAGCTGCAATTGAATACAAAGGTCGTAACTAGAAGATATAATTGTTTGCTTTACTTCGTTATTTACTGTTCTATGTTATAAGAGAAATAAGCTTAAGAAGTTATTTCTAAATAGTAATAATTGATATACATATATAATTGAAATGTGAATGAATTTTACAAAATATTAGTCTACTAAAACATAGCAGAGACTAGTTACTTTGTACAGACCAAAGGTCAGTTTTATATTATTGGATACGGTAACATGAGTGCAGGTGTGCTACGTCATTGTGACTTCTGTATTGTTAGCCAGGCACGGCTGAAAGGTCAATATAATAAAAAATATTAAATATATAGATTTAAGGTATTTAGTCTAAACATTTATGTTTTGTTTTTGTAATTTGTGTTCATTTTAGAATGAAAGACTCATAATTTATATTTATTTCAAAATTTTTTATGGTGGTTAGGAGATTGGTCAAATCTACCGAACCTGTACAGAGATTCATTACTGAAAATAGCAGATGAGAGTTTTTCTTCAGAAACATTTGATAACTATCTGGAAATTATAAAGATTTTGCATGTGAAATTTCAAAATTTTCTGATGCATCAAAGTATTTTTAATCTTAAAATAAAAATTACTTTGCATATTTGATAGGCAACATGCAAAAAGAAAAATAAAGCAGGTGAAAAAAAAACATTGCTTTACAAACCTTAAGGCTTAATTAAAAAAAAATTGATGTTTTGTGTATGAAAGCATTGTAACGTTTACTGATAATGTGACAAATTTTGTTTACGATCGCTTACTAATTTAAAAGGTATAGGCTGAAAACTATAAGAAGCACAAAATGGTTATGAGGTTGGTCCCAGGGACGGAGTCCTGCTAAAAGAGTTAAAGCTTTATATTTTATCCATCCTAAATCACTACATACTCAGTCAATTTGATCAGCTCATAACTACCATGCAAATTACAGATTTCGAAACAGTACCACCTCCTTCCACCCAAAGCTACCTTGATTCTAGGCTGCCCTCAGAGCATTGCTAAAAAAATATTTTTGTTACAGTACACCAGTCTTTATACTCCATCAGTTTTGAGCCATTTCAAAATGTGCTAATCATGTGACTACAAAATTTTGATAGTGCTTGATCACAAATTTGTCAGTTTCAACTTCAAGTTTGATTTCCATTGTTTCTATTCATTTGTTTTAGAATGTTTTTTTTTTTACCCGGATTCTACTTTGTTCATATGACTTCAACAGCAACAATGGTTCTGACACAAGTCACCAGGTTTCAGGGTTGACGATGTTTGCTGAGGAAGTACAAGCTTTTGTTCACAGGGGGTTCATGTCTTACATTCAGCCAATGATTTCTTTTGATCATGTTACAATTTTTTTCTGAGGAAAGATATAACTACTGAGTGGAAGTTTCTTTCTTCTGCTCCTTCCACCTGTTACCATGTCTCCATGTTATCTCCTGGGTTAGGTATTGTTTTTTTTTCCCAGTAGATCTGTGGTAAGTTTTTCAGTGTATTCTTCACTCCCAGTAGGTATACTCATGTTTAGCAAATTTATGTCGGCTTTTGTGGACTGACTTAATTTCCTCATGCAATAATTTAGGTCATTCACGTCTTCTCTGCTCAATATTTGGTAAGTTATATTTTTATATATTTTTTACCATCTAAGTTACTATAGTTTAAGTTTGCATTTAGAGTCTATTACTTTGTTTTTGTTCAATTTTTGGTATATGTATGGGTTTAGCACTGTTACTGTTTGGGTAATTGTAACCTTGACCATGTTTGAAGGTGTGTTAGTTCATTATTTAACTTCATTTCACTCTTTATGTTAGTTAGTTTGTAAGTTCCATTTTCTTTACTACTAGTCAATGTATTTCTGAATTAGATTTGTGTCAGAATTTGTTACTGTAAACTGGGTGCCTTTTCATTCTCATGATCTTCAAGGTAGGTTTCACTTTTGTGTTGTGCTGGACTTACATTTGATATTTATGTGTCTTTTCTCTTCTAAGTTCCTTTAGTGACTTTGTACTTTAGATGTTGCTTATTATTTTGTTTTATGTTGAATTTAATAATTTTACAAGTTTGTTATTTTTATGTACTTTGTAGACTATACAAATTTCTAGTTTTTTATAGCCTGTTAGTAATCAGTACTTTCTCTAATTATTTTTTGTGTGTGTTTTTTACCACACTTCATGGCAGTTCCATGGGTTCTGAAGTTCTGCCTTCAGTTTCACTTCCCTCTATCACCTTCCCTCCTCCTTGGGATTGTAACTCTTCCTGTCATTTTGTCTAGTCTGTTCAAGACCTACTACACCTAGGTGCTGTCAAATGGGTGGTACCCACTCAACCTGAATTTTACTCCCGTCAATTTTTTGTCCCTCAAAAGATGTTGAAATTGAAGATCTGACCCCGTTGAACTCTTATCTGGACCCACCTTGTTTCACCTCTGACTTTGGGTGGTTTTTTCCCCCGATCTCTGGATGACCAAACTGTCACCTCGTTTTCTTCAGTTTGTCCATAAGGGTTGTCTTCCAGTTCCAGGTGTGAGGGGTTCTCTCTAACCTTTGGGAGTGTGGGTTTCCTTCAAAGCTCTCATTCCCTTGGTTTGACTCACATGTGTTCCTTTCAGTGGATGCTTCTTGACCAGTGGAACTTCTCCCACAATGCCTTTGACCATCCCATTACCCTTCCGCTGGGATCAGGGCCAACCTTGCTTGGTGACTCGACAGGGAACTGACCATGGTTGGGATTCCCATTCCTTCACCTTGTCTGGAGTCTCATCTTTTTACCGATTCTTCCGTGGTGGGTTTGTGGGTGATTTCCTTGAGTTCTTCGGTCAATGGCCCATCAAGGAGACTACTCTCTGTTTTCAACATCCTGGAACTTTTGGCAGTTCATTGGGTTCTGTATCATTTCCTCATGCTCTTGAGGGGATGGGTAGTTATGTTTCATTCTGACTATTGCACTGTCATCGGCTATATCACCAAGCAAGTGGAAACCAAATCCAAATCTCTTTGTTTTCAGACTCTGGATCTTCTTAACTGGACTCACGACCACTATATGGTGATCTTGGCATGTCACATTCTCAGCGTTATGAATCTGGTGGCCGATTGCTTATGTTGACCCAACCAGGTTTTCCCCACAGTGATCCCTTGGTAGATGTGTTCTTGACTGGGAACACCACATATAGATGTTTGCCACTCACTGGAATGCCACATTTCTACCTTTTTGTCTCCACTTCAACACCTTTCAGCTTTGGGAGTAGGTACATTCAGTCAGGATTGGAGGGGTCTTCAGCTATATGCCTACTTTCTGATCAGATTCCTCTCCTGAGTCCTTTCCCTTATATAGACCACTACTTGTTGTTCCATACTGGCCTGCTCAGACATGTTTCCCTCTGTTCTGGTCCTTACCCCTATCCCAGTCTTTCCTCTCACAACTGCGATCAGACAGAGTTCATTCTAATGTTACAAAACTCCATCTTCACACGGGACTTCAGGCTGGGCCTTTTATTCAGCTTAGGGACTCACCCTTCCATTCCTGTTCCATTCAATCTTCCTCCTTGGCTGTGTATCAGAGATGATGGTTTACCTTCAGATCTTGGTCTATTCACCATGTATTTCATACACTTCCCACCCTTCCTCCCAACTGAGATGCTGGTGTTTATGGTTTGTCCCTGCCTATTCTTGAAAGTGTGGATTGTTCTTTATGAGGGAGATAGCTGTGCCAGTATAGATGGTCCAGTATGATTGGTGGAGAGTATTCACATGCTATGAAATGGTGCAAAAATGATGGGGGTACAAAGACTGGTGTACTGTAGCAAAATTTTTTTAGCAATGCTTAGAGGGCAGACTATGATCGAGATAGTTTTTGTTTTTAGAATGACTGCAGATTGTAACAGAAAATTACAAGTGTTTATCCTAAACAGCTTAAGGCTCATAACAGTTTACATCTGTTTTTATTTGTTGTTTGTTTTATTGCTCTTTGAACAATAACTACTAATTCTGCAATGCAAGCTGTAAATCACATGGAAAACAAATAGCTGAAGCTACCATGTTGAAATATGTAATGCACAAACTGCTCATGAGCATACCTTGTGGAGAAATTTTATTTTTTCATTATCTATCTTAATAATTCTCGTATTTACAGTTTACTTAGTTTTATAACAACAGTAAAAGATATACATGAAAATATAATTTAGTACTTATGTTTGCCCTCATGTTTTTCTTGCTGTCTGTCCTACAGAAGAAACTTGAGATTTTTTTGTAATTGATGATAATACTACATTAAATAATTTTAGACTTAAAATAAGACCCAAAACTTGAGCGCTTTTGAATAGTTGACTATTTTTCTTCAGGAGAACAATGGTCAACTATTCAAAAGCGCTCGAGTTTTGGGTCTTATTTTAAGTCTATTACACTTTATATGTGATCCTTTGTGCTAACTCTTTTATCAAAATTAAATAATTTTATTCATTTTAAATATACACTTATGAACACAAAATAATAACATGCATACTGCCTAATATCTATTGTAATTTTACTGGCTTTATAACTAAGGCATAAGTGGCTTAAAATAATTCCTTCAGATACTCCATCTTAACTCTGGAATAGCAACTTTCAGTTTGTAGGTGAAATAATTAATCTACTGAGAAAATGGTAGCATTATATAGTAAATTCTGTAAATTAAAACATTATTGTTCTGTTGATTATAAATGATGGAATAGCAAGAATTAGAGAGTTATTGGCAATTTGTGAAAGAAGGAGGATGTAACAGTTGGGCATGTGAAGTAGGTCTAACTTTCTAGCTTATAACTCCCTCAAAAAAGGAGATTGAAGGCTATAAAAATTAGATAATGCTTGGAAATATCTATACTAGAAAGAGTAATTTATGTTAAACTCAGGACATCAGGAAGGTGATGAAAAAAGATAGAAAATGGGCAAGTTGGAGTGAACAAATATTACAATGCACATTGCAAGGAGATTGAGAATTTATTTAAATGTTTCCTCTTGAAATTAAGAAACTAATACATATATAATACTAAAATGTAATTTATTAACTAAGTTCTAATGCACAATTTATTCATATGCACTGATAATAAAATAGTTTGAATTAAATTTTGAATGTAACTGTAAAAAGTCATGATATGTGTGCTTTAACCTACCTATAGCGAGAGAGTTAGTTTAATCAATTAGTAAACTCCATATGTCATTTATCAATACTTTTCACCATCCATTTACTTTATTATACCTCTCATATGTGGGTTTAATCAGTAACTCTGAAATTAATCTTTATAGTATTCTATACTTCTGGTGATTTTATGAACAATTTTAGGTTCTGGGAGATGATTTATATGGCAGATTGTCCTGTTGGACACTGATTGACACTTATTCTTATAAGGTGTGTCTAAAGAAAAGTTGTACTTCTATTAGTGTGCACGAATCCCAATAAACTTATTTTTGTAGATTTTTTTCTGTATTCACTTTACCTACATATTTTGTTCATGTAGTAGTGTAAGACAGGTTTTTATATAGGCATATTAAAAACAAGATCAAGTATCTACTATTTTCTCCAATTTATATTTTTAGGTTTTATAATTATAACTCTTCATTTGTTCATGGAGCATTGGATTGTCCTGGACAAGAATCAAAGCCTGTAGTGGGACAGCAGGTAAGGATGAAATACATGCTTAATGCTGTTACAAACGTGAATGTAATTTTATTTTGATGTGACTCTTCTCTGTTTTGTTTTTTTAATATAAAAGTGTTTAAACTTTGTAGCCTTCCTCTTACTTCGTGATTTATTTAGGTTTTATGAACAATTCCAGATGACTCTGCAAGTTTGTTTGTTTTTGAACCTGGTAGAATTGCATATTACACATTTATATATCATTTTTTTGCCAAAGTTTAAGTTAACAACTAATAGAACTCCTGAATGACACCTTTGTTCAGTTTTGAGATTGAAATGCTGTAGCTGTTGTAAAAAAAAAATCTTACTAACTGTAAAAGCTGTGAATTGTAATAAAATATATATGTTATTGATTAGTGGGTATGGACATTAAATTCCCTATGGTTATAACCTGTCATTTTAGAATTGCAAAAATATAATAGTACTATATAATGCTGCTATGTGTGATGAAATGCATTAAATTTGCCTATAATTTTTATAATTGCAAACATATAAAAGAAATAACACTGTATTACTGTTATATAGGGAGATAATTATTACAAGTACTTGTAACTTATGTTTTTGCAATGCCCTAGCATCAGCTGCCCTTAATCTCTCATTACTTTGGAGATATTTAAATATCGGTAACTTTTTAACCAGTGTTTACTTTGAAGACATCAAAATAACCTCATTTTACTTTGGAAATAGCTAAGTATATGTTTATAGAGGACTTAAAATTTTTTAGGCTTATAAGCTTTATATGAAAATAATAACTTGGAAATAATAAAGCAATATATTTTATTTTAAGGATAAAAAAAATTCTGAAAAATGTGATATTATTCTTGGATTGGATTGGTTATCATTCAACCACTATTAATTATGTAGCTAGTATATAAAGCATTGATAGTATTTCTTACCTTTTTTTTTTTTTTTCAATTTTTTAAAGGCCATTCATCAGAAAATTATGCAGCTGAATTTCCGAGACTGTCGTGCAAAAATTCTTCAAGTGGACAGCCATGAGACATTAGGGAATGGAGTAGTTGTACAGGTAACGGAAAGGGAAACAAAAAATATTATTGTATTTGATTATTTTCTTTTGTTTTAAGTTTTACATGCAGATAGTTGGGCATAAATCCAAGATCTCTACTAACGTGTATCAGGTATGGTTTCGCATAATTCATATTAAGTATCGGCAACAGTTAATTACTCTTACTTTAGATAAGCTGAAAGTAATAATTCTTAACTCATCTTTTACCTTTAAATAAGTGTATTAGTAATTTATTTGATTTTAACTTTCTGTTGTGGTGACTTAGTACCAATAACCCTTAAACCATTTTTATCTTGGAGAAATGCATTGATAACTCTTAACCACTCTGTACTTTAGAAATAACTAGGTTATAGTAATTCCTAACTCATCTTTATTATGTAGATAGTTTATAAAATTCAGCTTTTTTCTTATACATTTACAAAATGTATTTTTGGCTTATGTATCCACAGGTTGCAGGAGGATTGTCAAACAATAGCCAAGGAATGAGACCATTTGTCCAAACATTTGTGTTAGCTCCCCAGTCCCCCAAGAAGTACTATGTAAGAAATGATATCTTTCGTTATCAAGATGACATTTATGATGATGAAGAAGTAACAGACAACCAGGAAGAGACCATTGGTAATCAGAAATTCTCTAATATAGAAAATTCTGCCAGGCAATTTCAATTTCATACATTTAATTTGGAAACAAAATGTTCAATTGTGTTATACCTTTATATTGTACAGAAAAGACACCCACACTATTTATGATGATATACACGTTTGCAATGGTTACAAACATGCAATGTTTTATAATTATGTATTTTGTCTTGCAGACAGAGAGATTGAAGAGACAGTCACAGATATACCAGACAGTCCACCAGTGAAAGTTGGTGACCCTGCTGCAGGGGATTATTTTGGACCTGAAGTAATCAGGTATAAACAACTTATAAAACAAATTTACATTCTTTTTACTTGGTATGTAATAGAAAGTGTTTTAGGCTTGTTTCAATATTGTGAGGCTATGTTTTTAAAGAAGCTATCTTATATCTTGAAACTATGGACAAGTACTTATTAAACTTGTCCTTTGATGTCCAGTAGGCATGTATGATAAACTAGCACAAAGTTTTAACTCTGTATCTTGTAGGTAAAACAAATTATAGCTATTATTTGATTTTGTTTCTAAATGTTATTACATAGTTTCAAAGAATATAAAAAATGTTGATATGAGAGAAGAATTAAACAAAATTGAATCTTCATAAGAAGAAATTTAAGTATGACCTGTAATGGTGTTGGTCAACTTAGTTTCATTGACCAAGTGAATGTTTTTTCCTAGTTGGTTTAATTGTGTCATACAATTAATATAATATAAAATCAGAAGTAGTGTTCATGAATTGTTTTTTAATTTTCATGTAAAATAAAAATATCAAAACAAGAGAACAAATTGAAAATAAGTTTCGGAACTAAAAAAAAATTGTTATCTACATTAACTTAAAAAACTACTTATTATTCAAGTGATGTGTAGGGAATGTTGCTGTTCTTTAAAAAATAGTGTAGGGAGTACATTTTCATTAGAACATAAAACTGATTAAATATTTATTCTTATGATGCATAATATACTTTCCCATCTTACAAGTCTACATTACTAAAATATGACCAATACTAAAGTGGAAGAAAGTATCAATGAAATGATGCATAGCCTACTTGTTTCTATCTCAAGAACTTATAGCAAGTTTAAAATAAAGGTTTATTGGAAGTTACAATGTATTTGTTGTTGTTTTTTATAGTGTTTGAGTTCCATGTTTAGTTACCAGGCAACATCATGTACAACTGTAAGGCCTCACTGTAAGAACAAAGTTATACAAGTGCAAGTACAAACCATTTGTATATGTTCACTTTATGTGAAAACCAAGAGTATGAAATTGATTTATAATCTGAATAGCTGTCACTTGTGTAGAATATCCTTGTGAATATCATGTAGTTACTAAAAAACATGATAATCCAAATTTTAAGAGTTATGGATGAAAACTTTACATTTATTGAAAACAAAATGTATCCCCACCCAAAGAGTTAGTTTAAAATCAGTAATTTTTAAATTAAATATTGCATGTTTATGTTGTCATTGCATAAAGTTTTACTGACTAAGTTGTGTATTGCAGTCCTCCAAATGGCAATAGTCATGAGATGGAAACCTGTCCACCAGAAGAACCTATTTCTCCTGCTGTATCTCCAGAAGCACAATGTCCAGCAGAGGCTGAAATTGAACAAGAAATTGAGCCTGAACCAGAGCCCCAGAAATCTGAATGGGATTTGCCTGATGAGCAATTTACATCGGAGGGGCAAAGTCCTGCTGATGAACCAGAGCCTGATGATGCTACTGGTTCTTTACAGCCAGGTGAGCAATTGTTGTATATGAACCTGTTGATGTTGGGTTTTTATAGCTAGGTAAATGGCTATATCTGATATCCTGATACTTCTCGTTATTTGTGCTTCAGTTGTTAACATTTTAATATCGGATTCCTTTTAATTCTATAGTATTACATTCGCTTTAAACCACAGGAGCAGTTTGTTCTCCATCAAAAGCAATAAATCAGTGGAAGCCCAATAGCTGTTAGTGGTAGAGCTGTTGTAAACATGTGATCTAGGGAATGTCTTAGTGTAATTTTAGATTGACTATTATATTGAAGTTTTGTTTAGCCAAGCTGAGAAGTTTATAGTTTTTACATTTTAGTTTTCTTAAAATAATATAGCAATAAAAGAAAAATATGCATAAATAAGATGTATAGTACTCTCTGCTCTTTCAGTTGATGCTTTTTTTCCCCTGAACCTCACTGAATCTTGCAAATTTGGGTAACTTTCAAATATGCAATTTTAGAACACAAACATTGATCACAAGAATAGAATGTTGCAAAACTACTATAATTTATATGGCTTTTTAAGTAAACCATAATTAGGTTAAAAAATTCTTAAATGGCTCAGAGCAACAAAATAAATTGGTCCGTGGTAGATCATTGGAAAGTTTCTTTTATTTGACACCTTCTATCCCTGCATGCATAAGGTTCAGGCCTCCCTCCTTTGGCAGCTTCACCATTTTGGCACCACAGTACAGAGATTCTTCTATTTTACCTTTTTTATTTTGTTTTTACTCCTGATACTCTTCTTATAGGAGTGCCCTGACTTGTCTGGCCAGTAAACCCTAGTTAGGTTTGCTGGGGGACATGGTTTATCCACGTTTGAATTTCGGGTGTCCTGGTCTATAGCAAAGAGTGGTCTTTGTGGTAATTGTACATTTCATGGCCATCTGTCAGAAACCATTTTGTGTCTTAGGAGAATATTCTCTGTAACCCGTCTTTGTTTCTGTTTCTTGTTCAGCTCAGGACATCTTAAATTTTGGAGTTGTAATTTTATGTACATAGAGAAGCCAGTTGGTGTATTTGTTTCATTGAAAATAACTGAGATAAGTATATCTTCACTTCTCCACGTTCGTGTTTAGGTCCCCATTGGAGTGTATTAAAATTTTGGGTTTAGGTACATACTATTTCTGAACATGTACAGACATGTTTAGGACTTGTGAGAAGTGCTAACCTTTGTAAAGTTGAATGATTAACTCATTTACCTATGAATATTGATTTCATCAATTAATGTCAGTAAAATTATTGAGGAATTTAAATTAGTGTTTTTCATTATTCCAACCATCCAATAAATCAAAATATTCCCATTATGATTTCTCATTGTTATTTTTGATTAATTTAAGTTTGTTCGGCATAATAGATTAGTATCTCAACTGAAAGTGTTGAATCAACATTTTGCTGATTCAAAATAATTTAACTCAATTTGCACTGCAATATTTGTGTACAAAATAATGACACATTTTTCACCTATGGTTATCTTATTCTCTACCTGTAACATATCAAGTGGTATGTGTTGTTAAGTTTGTTTCTTTGTACAGTGAAGGTATGCTTAAAGTATCAATGTACTTCATCATCTAGACATAATTATGGAAATTCTCTTCACCACCAATTGTTTGATTGCCTCGAGATAGTTGTGTTCATATAAATTCATAAACTCATTCACCAGAACTAAGCATACATAACATCTGTCAACCTATACCTAATGGTAATCTCACTGGTCACGGTTATGTTTAGTGTTTATCTGATTTATAATTGTTGTCATGAAATAATGTTTACTTTCATCTACAAAGATTCAATAATTAGTAGGCTTGTGAACATTTGTGGGAAGAAATTGACAGAATAGTATTAGTCGTTTTCACCTTTTATTTTGTTTTTACTCCTGATACTCTTCTTATGGGAGTGCCCTGACTTGTCTGGCCAGTAAACCCTAGTTAGGTTTGCTGGGGGACATGGTTTATCCACATTTGAATTTCGGGTGTTCTGGTCTATAGCAAAGAGTGGTCTTTGTGGTAATTGTACATTTCATGGCCATCTGTCAGAAACCATTTTGTGTCTTAGGAGAATATTCTCTGTAATCTGTCTTTGTTTCTGTTTCTTGTTCAGCTCAGGACATCTTAAGTTTTGGAGTTGTAATTTTATGTACATAGAGAAGCCAGTTGGTGTATTTGTTTCATTGAAAATAACTGAGATAAGTATATCTTCACTTCTCCACATTTGTGTTTAGGTCCCCATTGGAGTGTATTAAAATTTTGGGTTTAGGTACATACTATTTCTGAACATGTACAGACATGTTTAGGACTTGTGAGAAGTGCTAACCTTTGTAAAGTTGAATGATTAACTCATTTACCTATGAACATCGATATCATCGATTAATGTCAGTAAAATTATTGAGGAATTTAAATTAGTGTTTTTCATTATTCTAACCATCCAATAAATCAAAATATTCCCATTATGATTTCTCATTGTTATTTTTGATTAATTTAAGTTTGTTCGGCATAATAGATTAGTATCTCAACTGAAAGTGTTGAATCAACATTTTGCTGATTCAAAATAATTTAACTCAATTTGCAGTGCAATATTTGTGTACAAAATAATGACACATTTTTCACCTATGGTTATCTTATTCTCTACCTGTAACATATCAAGTGGTATGTGTTGTTAAGTTTGTTTCTTTGTACAGTGAAGGTATGCTTAAAGTATCAATGTACTTCATCATCTAGATATAATTATGGAAATTCTTTTCACCACCAATTGTTTGATTGCCTCGAGATAGTTGTGTTCATATAAATTCATAAACTCAATCACCAGAACTAAGCATACATAACATCTGTCAACCTGTACCTAATGGTAATCTCACTGGTCACGGTTATGTGTAGTATTTATCTGATTTATAGTTGTTGTCATGAAATAATGTTTACTTTCATCTACAAAGATTCAGTAATTAGTAGGCTTGTGAACATTTGTGGGAAGAAATTGACAGAATAGTATTAGTTGTTTTCACCTTGTTACTGGTTTCAGAATGATGTGTATATGATACATTTTTATACACAGCAGCTTAGGATTTAAAAAGTAACTTTTTAGTTGTTGTACTTATAGGCTAAAGATGTATCAGATTAAATGAAGTGTAGTTCAAAATGTCTTTAAAAAACTCAAAACAAGCTAAAAATAGGAATATCAAGCTTGTGAAAATAATTAATTGATAATCTGTAGAGACATAATATATGCTCCTGCTATAATTACTTTTTAATTTACAAACTTTCAGGAGTAGTAAATAAAAGTTATAATATCTAGTATATCTTTGAAATAACTTGCATGGGTAATTATTGTGGTACTGTTTTTTTAAAGATGTATTTAAATCTTTACTTAAGCAATTATGGAAAAATGAAGATTATTTCTGTTCATTATTTGTTTTTCATTTTCTTTAACTGATTTTTGTGCATCTGCACATAATATACTGTACACTAAGTATGAATTGTGCAGTAATGTACAATTACGTTAGAAAAGAAAGTGCTTGCATTTGTTTTCTTATGCAGTATTTGACAACTAAAAGGCATTGTTAACGTTTAAAAAATGGTTTTGTTCACTTTTGTAGATATTAATAAATAATGTGAGTTCTTTTTTATTTTACACATCATAAAGCCCCCCAGTGGCATAGCGGTATGTCTGCGGACTTACAATGCTAGAATCTGGGTTTCGATACCCGTGGTGGGCAGAGCACAGATAGCCCATTGTGTAGCTTTGTGCTTAATTACAAACCAACAAACACATCATAAAATGTATACATACTAAAAAAATCATAAATGTGCAGAACATGCCTTGGATGTATTCTAGCATTTTTACTTATTTTATAACATAAATACAAAACCTAGATCTATGTAGAGTTTATATAGATGAATTGCACATATATGTACATAAGACCATATTGTAACAGTTTTGATAGAAATTTAACAGTTAAGTCAGAGGCTACTTTAAAATGTTATGCAAAACCTTAGCTAACATTTGAACAAAGTTCATGTACTTGGAACTTGAATGTTCTCTTCATGTACAAAAGGTACTCATTCTGTTAATATACACATCTTCACACGTGCACATGATGTAAATGAAATTGTTAAACACTGAAGATCATATGACCCATTTATAAATACTGAATGGCTATTAAGTTCATAAATGTTTATGGGAAAAACTACACATTTGATGCATCTTGTTTTCCATGACTATTTCACATGTTTGTTACATTTCATGGAAGTCTAGATTTAGTTCTGCGAAGCTCTAAACTTAAACTTTGTAAGGGTTCATATCTAAAAATTTCTGGAAATTTTAAAATAATTTTTAAGACTTCTCAACTCATTCAGTTTTATATATATATATTATGGGAATTAAGAGGTTAAAGTAGTTTCAAATTTTTGTCAAAAATTGTAGTAAGAATTCAAGTAAACATCAGTACACACATAGGTACAGTTGAGGAACAGTGTAAAAAAAAAATACATATGTGGTAAAGATGGACGTGCACTCCACATCTTGTAATATACAAGTATGAAATATGCTTTTAACCTTCAGTGACAAATATAGTTGTGGACCTATTCCTAAACTTATGAAATTTTTGTAAACTTGCACTAAAGCATCCCTTAAATTACTTTCAGAAACCATGCATGAGAATATTTTGTTTACTTCAAAGAGAACTGACAAATACATGGCAAGAATTAGTCAAATATTTCAATGCTTTATGAGTTAACTTAAAAATACAAATTGATTGATTATAAGCATTGTGTAGATAGTCTTCTGAGTAAGGAAAACAGGAACAAAAAAAAGAGATTAGGAAAAAGTAAAAACAATAAAAGTTAAGCATATGTTCAGATTCTGTGAACATTAATAATCAGATCAGTATGTGGTATTTTGTTACAGAAGATTGTAATTAAAGTATTTATGATTGAACTGTTTTATGTGTGTGACTTGCTTTAATTTGATGGTTACAGAACCTAAGACCTATGCCAACATGGTAAGTAAACATGCAGTTGGTGTAGGGGGATTTCTCCCCACTGTAACAGCACTTGGGTCTGTGGACAATGCAGTAGAGCCTCAGCCTAAACCAGAGCCTGCTGTGTTTACCAAGGTTCAACCAACAGGTTTGATATCTACTCCAAATTCTTCCTTGGTGACTGGTGGAGCTTCAAACTTGGGTGCAGGTACATCTCAAACCCAGAGAATGCCTCGTCCTCCCAGAAGCTCTTTTCAAGGAACGAATCGTGCAGATGTTCGAGAGGCTACTCCCAGCTCTGTGACGGGAAGAATAGGTGGGACACCTGATTCAGAAGGAAGAAAAATGGGTATTTTACCTTACCCAGATTCACAGCAGCTTTTTGTGGGGAATTTGCCCCACTCTATCAGTGAGGAAGAACTGAAGGAATTCTTCAGTCAATATGGCAGAGTTTTGGAAATGCGCATCAACACAAAGCCTCCCATGAAGATGAACAGTGGTACTAAAGTACCAGTAAGTTTTATGCATTTATTCTTTGATGCTCCTTTCAAATGTTGTAAATTTTATTATTCTTAGAAGATTGTTTATTTTCATTTGGAGATAAAAGTTTATGCTAGTTTTTTAAATTGAGATTGAATTATTTTATTATGTATAGCTGGTTCCATGTGCCTGTTATAATATTAAATACGAATGTTCATAAGATATTCTATCAGCTGAACTGTAAATTGTTTTTAAGAACAAAACTAAGATTAAAAATTAATAATACAGGGTGTCTTTAAGTTACTAAACCATTTTATTAATTGAATATAAAAGAAACCACAACATATAAACAAATGCAGTTTATGGCATGTGATAGACTGGCATCTGAAGTTTTTTCCCACCGGTTTAGATGAGATTATGTGAAAGACATTGTTTTTAAAATGAAAGTGTGCCTGATTAACCAGTGCAGTTGCTACAATTACTTCGGAGATGCTAGCATATTCATAAGTGGACGTTGATTATAACCTTGACATTCTTTGAGACCACTGACAAATCCCTGGTGTTAACCTCCATTATATTGTAAACTTCGGTTGTTTATCTTATTTATTTCTCATACTTTTCACTTAGTAAAATAGTTTAATAACTTATGGCCACTCAGCTATTTTTCTGTCAGAACTTGTAATGACACAAGCAACTCCTGATGGGGCTGTTTAAAGTATGATGTAATTCAAGAATGTACAGATTTTCTGGATACTGTACCTCACTCATCATTGTCCAGATTTTGGGAATTTAACTTGTACTAATCTTGTGGATTGATTATTTTATGAAATGAAGGCTAGTACTATCATTAGTGTGTAGTAAAAATGATGATAATTTCATCACATGAAGATGCTACTGTTGAGACGTTTCTTTTTTTTTCAGTCACAAGAGAAATTTCAATTAATTAGTTGCAAGAAAAGTCAATTTTTGATTAGCATGTTATTAATGATATGTGAATTCTAAATGTAAGTTTCTAAACCATTAATTATTCAGTTTAGTACAGGAAAACAGAAGTATATAGAATAATTTGGATGAAGGGAAGTGGCACTTTGAAATGTAAAAAAATATTCTAAAAGAAAAATCAGAAATTGAAATACCAGATTCTTTGAAACAAAGTAATTGTTTTGAAAGGGATGTTGAGAGCTTTCTTGAATCCATTGAATTATGCTCAAAAGCCCAAAATAAATGACCTAGTTGCCTCAATTACAAGATCAGTTTCAGAACTGCAAATGTTAAAAGAGTAACTACTGCTTACACGTTTTATTGGAACCTCCATCTTTTGTAATAATACTTTGGAGATGTAAATTGATCTGTATTATAATCATATACTATTGGATTATGCCAAAAATATCATTAACAGTGATGAAACAATGCATTTTAATCTGTATGTGTTTGAGTGTAAGAAAAGTATACATTATCCAGTTATACTGATTACCAGGTTAATTTTTAGTGTCATTATAAGAACATAGTTTTCTGTGATGGAAGTTAATATTAATTGGTTATGAGGGATCATTATAAAATATGTGATTATTGGTCTTCTGTGATCTGTATGAAATTCCATTTCACATTAAATTTCAGCTTCATATTTGTCATCATTTGTAACAAATGGTTGCAAAATAAAATCCATCGTCTCAGTACAGGTGAATTTGAATGTGAAATTGTGTTTGACAAAAATGCTTGAACTTTGTGTCCTTGAGGGTATAAGAACCATGGAAAATGAAGCTACAAGTAAACATTTATGATTATGCTCTATTTGTATGATTGCTAAGTCAATGAAGCATTAAAAATGTTCAGTGTCCATCTTTATCAGTGCATGACTTTGTAACATCTACACACTGACTGACATTTTCCTGCACAGATTGGAGCTTAATTGTTGATTCATTAAATATTACCATTCTTAATATGTTGAAATTCTTGTTGGTTTTAACAAATTCTTAATGAACGTGCTCCACACCTCCAAATGAAATAGAGAACATATGCAGTTTCCATTATTTGTTTTGGAAATAATTATGTTTATGTAGTTTTAAAATATTTCATCAATTATTGCTTGAAAGATTTTTATTGTATAAAACATATCTGGAAGAACAATTGGAAGTGAAATGGCAAAAGTTATTATTTTGTGAAAACAAAAACAGGATGTTTTCATTTATAGATTATTCAAAACTACATTTGTTGAACTTTTTGTTTTATCTTATTTAGAACTTTGGTTTCATTGTAATGGATGATCCTGCAGATGTGTCCAATATTTTACAGAAGAAGGTAAGATATTCTTAATGTTTGGTTATTTCAATAAATATGTATTATGAAGGTTTTAAAGAGTATTTCAGTAACAACTGAAAATATTACAGGAAGTAAAATATCTTGTATATGTAGTATCTACAGTTTATATAGAACTTCTAACTTTCTACTTTACAAAATTATAATAGTGGTGTTATATTAAAAATTATTTCTAGGGCTTTTATTTTTTTAAATTGATAATAACATACATAAAACTATGATGTTAAATTCAAGTACTTTTTTAAGAAGAATAAAACATGCAAAGAAACTTGTAATATGTGATATATATAATGGGTAGTTGGTAGGCAGACCACAGTACAAGAACTTGTAATATATATATATAATGGGTAGTTGGTAGGCAGACCACAGTACAAAAACTTGTAATATGTGATATATATATAATGGGTAGTTGGTGGCAGAATACAGTACAAAAACTTGTAATATGTGATATATATAATGGGTAGTTGGTAGGCAGACTGCATTTCAAATGTGAACTGTCAGTACATATCAAACAGACCAGAAATCATATGATATTTTTAATTTTATAAGAAAATTGCATTTACACCGAGATCTTTAGGACAACACAGAAAAAAACTGTATAAAAATTATAGTGGACATGCATTCTACAGTATATTAACTTGCAAATTTTGAAACTAAAGCACGTTTGTTATATTGCTCACAGAAATGAAAACCATGTTGGAAATTAATAATTTTGAGAGGCTTATCTGTGGAGGAAATATAAAGTGGTGAAAGATGTTTCTCTGCCTCATGACCTTATTGTAAGCAAGAAATGGAATCTTGACTACTTGTGGTCTATTGAGTATACAGATTATTGTGTTAATCTTACATTGTTAAACTGTGTATAGTTAAAAAAATAGTTGTGGTTACATAGTGTACGCTCAAAAATATTTTGCACAACTGTTGAGACCCATGTCCCATTATTAGTAAGGTGACAATGTACCAAAAATAAGGTTTGTTTTCTATATTGTTAATGTCAAAATACCTCCTTTAAGGATAAAAACAATGTCAACTATGAAGTTTTACTGTTTCTAGAAGAAAAATAAATGGAGTAATATTTTTTTTTACTAGCCTATATACTTCAATCACCACCGACTGAATGTGGAAGAGAAGAAGGCAAAGCCTAGAGAACAACGTTCAGGGGGTGGAGGGGATGGTAGATTAGGTGGAGGGAATAGGGGCATGATGGGTCGTGGAGGAATGGGAGGTCGATTTGGAGGAAGAGGAATGGTTAGTATGGGACGTGGAGACAGAGGTGGTGGACGAGGAAATTATGTTCCACGACGTTAATATATCCACTTGGCTGTGGTATGTGAAAAAGATGATGTTGCTGTAAGCCTAAATTCTTCTACAGTGTCTGTCAAGATATGACTATAACAGTGTGTGTTGATCATCTGTGGTGTTATAGCACCCTATTTATTGTAAAGCTAGGAAAACTTGTGTACAAACCATGGGGACTACTCAGTTTGATTTTTGTTTGAATGTGTCCTCAACTCTTCAGTCAAAACAGTTTTTATATTACAGAATATCTTATAGAGGTAACACTACCACAATTGGCGTTCCCTTCTGTTCATACCTTGATTCTGTAGTGACTTTTCCATCATCAGATTTTACGGAACTGTCCTGTTCTAGTAAAAAAAAATTATAATTTTGTTCAGAGTGAAGTACTATCTCAGCATATTATTGCTTGTAACCAGGGTAAACTGATCTCATAATTATTTTTCTCTCCATATGTGGGTGCAAAAAAACTTGTCATTAGTCATCAGGTCAGTTTACCAGTTGCCAGTGTAAATAATCAGTTGATCATCATCAGTTTTATATATCTTACAGATGTAATTTAATGAAATATTAAAATACCTGCTATGACAAATGTTCTTTTTTCTTCTTTTCTTAAAGGACATTTAGACATACATACAATAGAAAACCTATTTATACTATTTTTGTAAATTCAAAATGGTATACGGATAGTTATTTACGAGATACAAAATTCTAGTCTTTAAATGATTTTGTTTTTTACTTAGTTTTTCCCATACTTAGAGCAAACTCTGACACTGATGTAAAAGGAAATCTTGTGCATGACACAAATTACTTTGGTGTCTGTATTTAAAAAAAAAACTACAGCTATATTTCAGTGAAAGTAACAAGACTTAAATATCGTTAACTGTTGAATCTCTCTTCTTTCAAATGATATGAATTCAATCAGAGACTAATACACAATATTTATTTATTGGCCAGGTTTAACATCTTTACTTGTTTTTGCAGTATGTATATGAAGAATTTTCATAGCAATCACAGACTTCAATGAACATCTTAAAATTGTCTTAACTACTGATAAGTATGTTACTAAAATAATATAAAATTTATATATTTTTATACTGTTACACAGGTTATTTCATGCATGTTCCAATTAAATTTTCTGTAAAAAAAATTACTTTAATTCACTTAATCTTTAAAAGGGTGTACCTTGTGTTATATAAACCTGAAATAAGATCTTAGATAGCAAAAAGTGTATCCGTAACATGTCACTTGAATTACCATGATGAAGCATGTAAAAATCAGCTGCTTATATTATTCATGATATGTGCTATAAGGTAGTCTACATCTTCATACACTGATTGATAGTAAGTTTTAGTATTTGATAATACAGTTAATGTTGAACTAAGTGGAAAGGAAGTGAAAATGTTGAAAATCATTTTTAGCCATTGTTTTTTTTGTTTTTTTTAAGTACAAACTTTTAGCTCATAGGTACATCATTTCTTAACCAATTTGAGAACTAGTTACAGTTTTGGACTCAGGAGGTCAAACCCTTTTCAGTGATGTATTTACCCACACCCAAGGTCTCATAGATTAATTTACTCTAATCCTGTCTAAAAGAATTCCGGTATGAGGACAGGTTGGTAGAGGTCCTGATGAGTAATAAAATAAAATTGGGTATATATGCTTGCCCCACACTTGGTATTACTGGTGCACAAAAATATAGCACTAATAAAAAGGGAAAAAAGTCTTGTAGATTAATTTACTTTAATTCTGCCTAAAAGAATTTCAAGTGCCATGGCTATTGAGGATTCCCTCTCGTTTCTTGTATATGAGATACAAAACTTTATAGATGCTCAAATTCAAAATAATTTATATTAGCAATGATGATAGGGATATAACATTAAAAAATGTTTATAAAGCATACTGCTATTGCACTAAATACCCAATTGTGTATGGAGAAAAGCACTTCTGTTAAAACGATGTACAAAATCCAGTAATTCATGTTGTAAGCACATCACACCAGTAAGCTGTTGTTTGGCACACTTTGCATCAAAGGTGATCTAACAGAGTATTGGAAATATGTTAATTTCTTTTCATCAAAAGTAAATTGAAAATATTACGTGTGACCTGTAAAAAAAATCTGTAATATTACACAGTTGGTCCATTGTATAATATTGAATAAGAAATTACACAATGCCATCACATTATTCACACACTTAAATTATTCTATTGCAAGTTAAAAAGAACTCGAGAGCTTCTTAAGTGCTGGAAATAATTATGAAAATGAAAAAGTATAAAATGCAAACAGTATGGGAATACTGCCCCTTTATATTGTCAAAGTGAAATGTTCATAAGAGTACAAATGTTTGTTAGTAAGTGGAATGTCATCCAACCAATCAAAAAGTGCTCTACATTTATAAACCCTTTAAAGTACAGGCAATCATATTATACCCAGTAGTGTGTAGCTAGTCATTGCTCAAGATTGAAGTACCATGAGAGGTATGGGTTGAGCTCTGGATTTCAGAGCTGGCAAGCCCCTTTCAAACCTGTGTAATACCACAAAATATTTCCCAAACTTTAAGCTGTGGGTACATTATAAAAGTTACAGACAATCTCTTAGTGTAGGTCAGTGGTTCCCAACCTGGGTTCAAAAAAGGTAATACCATCTCATTAAACAATCAAATGATTTAATACTGCTGTTTTATTAATTGTACCTCAGTTATAAGTCTTTTTTGTGAAAAAAGTGGGAAAATTGTTAATTATTAGTTAATAAAAACAGTTTGTTGGGTATACAGAATATTTCGAAGACATTGGATCTGTGGGGAAAATAATAATAATAAAAAGGGTCCTTGGTGGTAAAAAGATTGAGAACAACTGGTGTAAGTTGAGTTCTGTCTGGCTGGCTGCATTTCCTGTGATCAGTAATTCAAAATTAGGAATATGTACCTATGCAATAAATACTTTTACACATTTTATGGAAATCAAACTATTGGCTGTAGAAACACTAATAAGGCTACATTTTGATAGCTGTATGCAAGTCTAAACAGGGTCCAAGAGACTGGCACTGTTAATTAATTAGATGTGCAATTTGACTAATTTTTTGAGTGACAAATTGCATACCCAGCTCTGTACTAACAGAACTGGTGAAAGTCTAAATGTAGAAGTGAACTCTCAGTTCATAACAAGCTTTTTGATGCTCTTGTAACACACTTTAAATGTCTTCCTTCAAAAGTTACTTTAAGGAAACAAAATGCACAACACAATCCTACAAGTCAAAGATTGTAAAGCTATTGTAAATAGTTGAGTCTGAACAAAATGCACACCACAACACAATCCTACAAGTCAAAGATTGTAAATAACATTTTGGCTTGTTTCCCTTAATGACCAAAATATACAGAATATCCAGCTACACTGCAGAGGATAAAGATATTGTACTGCTGTTTAGGTTTCTTATTCTTTTTTTTCTGATTCACACTATTCAACTTCCAGTTTATACTAGGAGTATTATAAGTGCTTAAGCCTGAATTAGAGAAGTATTTCATAATTAAAATTTCTTACTTCTTGATGTAGAATAGTTTTCCATAGAAGCAAAATTCAAGATTATTATTAAATTTAATATATTAAATGTACCAAATTTAGACAGTAGAAGTATTGACCACATCTTTACTGTGAAATGGGCTCTTTGAATAAGAAGTGACAACTGCTTTGCCATTTCTCCCAAGTGTCTTGACTCAACTGCTACAACTCCTCAGTCTTCTTGGAGAATGAATGCTACTGAAAATCTTTGCAGAGATTTTACTAATTTTTAGCTAATCTGTACATGTTTTCAGTGTTTTTAATAGAAAAAAAAAAAAGATGAGTGGGGTCTCAGACTCAACTATTTACAATAGCTATTGTAGTAACAATACAGGGGTTACTGTATATAAAAAAAAAATCAATATATTGGAAAGTTTACTAAGAATTTGATTTGCTTTTGGACTACTAAGTCAGCATGTCAACTTTGGTGTGGATCAGTTAACTGATGTGTCCACAGAAAGACCGAAGTTTTCCTTGATATTGGATAATTATTGCACTGGTATGGTTTAATATGTATAGTGCATATGTGAAGAATGCCTGTATCCCAATTTTTATACTCAGCTCTGCCTTGTTTCACTTGCCAGAGCTGAATAATAAAATGGTAAAAATAGAAAACCAAAACTTTCCAAAAATAAACTTGAAGTTTGTTATGTACAAGATAGACCATGGTCAAGTATAAATCTTTTAAACAACCTTACTGTAAGTACAGATATGAATGTTACCTTGAAATCCGTAAAGTACACATTAATTAATTTCAGTGGACATGTAATTGCTTCAAAAACACTGTTTAGAAAAGGTAAACAAACCAAAAAGTTGAAATGATTGTTGGACTTAAAACACAAATGAGCAAAACTAGAGGTTTATGCTCTTTGCGTGCTGTACAAAGATGAATCTGCACTCGTTGACTCCTATTCTTCAGAGAGTATGATGGAATAGTATCTGTACATCACAGCAGTCAGGGTGCCATCAGTTATATGTAGATCACCAACACTTAACTAAAGTGTATGTCCTCACTTGTACCATTTTACTGTAATGTTCTAACATGGCTGTGATACAATTTTTCTTTCTGCCATTAACAAACTGGCATTGTTGACAAACAGCTTGGAACTTGGATTTATGTATATATACATTGTAAAATTCATATACAGTGATATTTTACAGTACATATACAAAATGTTTATTCATTCGAGAGTAATTTAAGTCTTTTTAAACTACAAAACTGAAATAGAAACTTTTATATTGAAATGCATTTATCACAGCATTAATACAAACAACAAAATAATAGGCTTTTATTTCCAAGAGCAAGTTTCCTGCACTCACACAATAATGCCAGTGTGTTATAGAAGACTAAAGCTTTACTGTTTTAAGCAATGAAACTATACCGGACATAGCTTACAATAACTGATAGGTGATAACAGTAAAACCAAAACTATTTTGTATGGCATAAGGTGCTGCTAAAAATGGCATCAACTGTTAATGTTACATGTACATAATCAGCAATGTATTTAAAGTTGATTACTACAAATCAATCTTGTATTGACAACCACCTTTAATGTTGAGATGGTAAAAGTGTTTTTCTACATAAGTTTATGATCTGTTACATAAAATTAGTTCTGGGGTGATTCATACCAAGCTCAAGAACAGTCAATGATAAAATGCAAGCTAATAATTAGAGGTTAGAACAATGAATTATCAACTAGTTAACAAAAAATAAAATTTTCTGTTTTTGAGAAAGATTTTATCGCATATCAAAACAATGTTTATCTAATTATGCAATTCAGATGGAAAACTTACTTTGTGAGAACGAGCAAGAAATTAATTTATTGATATAGGCTCTTAACTGTTAGGTAGACAGTAGTCAAGATTATAATTTCTAGTCAGTTTAAACTGATAAACAGTAACTTGTAAACAAATACCAAATGAGATTTTTACTGAATAAATGTCCATTATATATACATCTGTATACATATTTTTCTCTACATATATATGCGACTTATCAGTCCTAAGATACAGCTACAGAAAGTGAAATGGTGGTGGTGCAGGTCCTCTAAAGTTGCTAGGAATTCTTGGACCAAAATCTCTAAATGATGGTTGTGGGGGAAGTCCTAGTCAGAGATAATTACAATAAACCAAAATTAGACAGTATGCTTATTATTTTTAATTACCAAATAAATGTGTGTTTAAAAACATCTGAAATATAGATCCAAAATTCAATAGTGCAGTATATTACAATAATATTAAATTGAAAACGTGGCACTTTGTGAAAGCTTACATCAGCTGACTAGTTGTGACCACTATAGTCACATTACTTGTGAATTTTTTGTCTTTGTTGCCAGCATGGCTGGCACTTTTACGGGTAAATTTTAAAGTTACTTGGGAGTGGCTAGAAAAGTTAGTTTGAAGCTCTGATGCAGTAATTTTTTTGTTAGGCATTGTACTTGTTAGTAAAATATGTCAAAGTGTTCTGTTACATGTATATTTAATACTTATTATTTCCAGTCCCAAAAGAAACAATTAGATTTTAACAGCTTTCAGACTCTATTGATCTCCGATATTATAAAAAGAAAAAGATTTAACTTGACCTAGAACATGCTATATTTACTGTATATGGCGACAAGTTAACTGTAGGCCTAATTTACAAAAAACATTAAAATGTAAGTGTAACACTATTGAACTTTTTTTTAAAAAAATGAGAAATTATAGTACAATTCCTATTTAAAATAGGGTGTTCAGTTTTATATAACAAAAAAAGTTTCCAACATCAGAACTGGAGATATACTTAACCTTAATGAATGGAATGTTCCAGTGCTTTTTAAACCATGAAATTACTTAACATAAAATATTTTCAAGTCTAGAACCTTTAATTACCAGGATGGGTGAAACATGCTACTGACACTGAATTATTTTAAAAATTTATGAGGTATTTTCAAGGGTTAAAATTATGAACATCTTCAAAACTTTAAATACTTTCATAAATACAAGTATGATATTTTAATATTTCCTCAAGTACTACAGAAAAATCTTATATTGTTTTATTACACACGCAATGGTAAATCTTCCACAAGATTAGGTAACTATCAGACTGAGGTTAACACACCATCATCAAGCAGAACAAGTTTAGGTAACTACTGGACTTAGGTTAGCACACCATCCTCAAACAGAACAAGTTTAGATGACTATCAGACTGAGATTAGCACACCCTCAAATATCATAAGATTAAGTAACTATCAGACTGAGGTTAGCACACCATCATCAAGCAGAACAAGTTTAGGTAACTACTGGACTTAGGTTAGCACCATCCTCAAACAGAACAAGTTTAGATGACTATCAGACTGAGATTAGCACACCATCCTCAAATAGTAGAAGATTAAGTAACTATCAGATTGGGATTAGCACACCATCCTCAAATAGTAGAAGATTAAGTAACTATCAGATTGGGATTAGCACACCATCCTCAAATAGTAGAAGATTAAGTAACTATCAGATTGGGATTAGCACATCATCCTCAAATAGTAGAAGATTAAGTAACTATAAGATTGGGGTTAGCACACCATCTTCAAACAGAACAAGTTTAGGTAACTATCAGACTGAGGTTTACACAAAATTTTCAGCTTTGTTTATGACATTTGAGGTTAAGTTACAAGTTATTGCTTTCATTGCAGTGGAGTATATTACTCATAATGGATTTACTAGGATACATCTTTCACAAGTATTCAGAAAGCAGATAATAAACTGGCTATATGATATTTACCTTCCTATTATAAACTTACAAGTGATTTTGGGGATAAGATAGAAATTTGGAACAGACACTAATCTCAAGATATACATTAAGTGTTTTCTTAATTCAATATAAATAACATCCCAAGTAACAGTATAATTTCTTCACTATTTATTTTACCTAAATATTAACTGAAAATGGCTTTAAACTTGCTAATATTGTTTTTTCCTGCTTGTTTTAGGAATATTTAACAAATATTAAATATACATCATATTCAATAAATTGGGCATATTAGTAGATAACTGTAAGAAATAACTCGTAAGCTAAGCCTGATTGCTTTATTTCAGGCCTCAGTCTATGAATGAGCAATCTCCCTCTTTATGCAGAAACTTTATCATTGCTTCTTCCTAAGATCTTAATTTCAATGTACATCTACATCACATTCACCTAGGGCATGCTCCAGCATGGGACAAGTAAATTTGCAAAAGAAAGAGAGAGGGAGGGAGGAGAAGAAGAAGAAGAGGCAACAATTAGACTTACAAACACATCTAAGCTGTATTTCAGGACAAACCCCACAAAGTACATTTCTTAACCGAATTGTAATAAACAAAGAATAAGTTTAGATGACTATCAGCCTGAGGTTAGTACACTATCCTCACATAGAACAAATTTAGATAACTATCAGACTGAGATCAGCATAAAATTTCTAACTTTATTTTTGACTTTTAAGCTAAATTACAAGTTATTGCCGCGTATGTGCAAAGTAATTATAGCAAGGTATTTAAAAGCTTTATACAAAACTTACTGTGCCAGAAGTATGAGGACTCATGTTAAGTGTAACTATTATTAGAAAAGTACCATGTTTGGAATACTTGAACCATATTTGTCCATCTTTTAAATTTCTATTAATTTTAAAAAATTGTGACTAAGGCAATGCATCAAATTCTCTCTTTCACAATAACAACAAGGACAACATCTGGAAGTATTGTTAATTTTTCATAACATCCATATAATATTCTAAATATACCATACCTGGAAGGTTAGGGTGTCTATCAAATTCTCCACCTAAAATTCCTGGTGGCCACATTACTCTCGGAATTCCTTCATGATCATTACTTTGAAAAGGGAAATTTGGAACAACTATTACAGAACGGCTTTGTAAGGAAAGAAGTTCTTGTTTCCTCTTGTATTCCTTTTGATAAAGCTAAATGTAGAAATGTAAATTATTGTAATAGATGAATGCAATACCTTAAGGCATTTATGAAAGTAATAAAATTTGACAATTTAGGCTATTGCTTTTTGAAAGTATGCATATTAAGCTCAAAAATCAGAAAAATAGTTACTTTAACACACATTCATGTGTCAATGAACATGACTATATATAAGACAAAACTACCACTAAGAAAATTGTCCATGTCTGTGAAATACAAACTTACATTCTTCCAATCTGGACTTTTTTTTTCATACTTCTGGGCTTCTGAAATTATCAAAATATTTCTTTTTACAATAAAAACAATTAAGTGTCCTAGCATCATGCTTAACACATAAATTGTTAAAAAAAAGAACCTCATATATTTTAAAAGCACTAGGTCTGAAAGCTTTTATTTTTAAAAGTTCAAGATAGTTGTTCCCATTTTCCTAAGCTATGCTACTTGAAAACGATTAGCAACAACTTTAAGGGGTGTGGTATTCTCAGGTGCATGGATTTCCTTTAGAGTAAGGAAGAGGATCTACAGAATAATAGGATGTTCAGGCAGAAAATATTATGCATAATTAAACTGTATTCTCTACCTTTGACTGAGTGAAAAATGAAAGAGGGTGGGTAAAGTGTATAACAATATCATTCGACAATCAAAGGTGAGGAGTGTGATAAAAGATGGTACACTTACTGGAAAAACAAGAGCTCTCAGAAAACTCTGTCAAAAAAAAACATTTCTGGACTGAGAAAATAGAAAATATAGCATTATATACATAAAACAATAATGCTATTGTTTCCCAGGTGCATGCACTTTCTATAATTCTAAATGACTGTTAGGTCATTCCCATTGAAAACAAGAAAGGTTATCATCTAACCTACAAGTGAAAAATATGATTGTTTATTTTTATTTTGTATGGCTTACTTTGCGGAAATCTTTCAGATGAGAAAGCACATTATACCATAAGCGAATGACCCATAACAATAGGTAACTTGGATGAAAGAAACTTAGCTACTTCCTTGACCAACATTTTATTCTAAAACTAAACACACCTGTAAGTATGAATAGCTAAAACAAATTTATGTGAACTTTACAATTAAATAAGGCATAGAAAACATCTAGTAGGCCTGTATACTATAGAGGTCATGCATTAGAAAGCTATAAATAGTTCAATACACGACATGAACACCAAAATTAATATAATAATTGATAGATGAAAAGACACAACTACATCAATGACACAATTAAACATAAATTGATACCTTCATACTACAGTGTACATGCTACTCACCTGTTGGAAAGTCCCTGAAAAACAGATACCTCCAAAGTAGAATATCCTGCGTAATGATGTGAAACTCTTTATTGGTAGCTGACATTCTTATAATATCTCTCACAGGTAGATACATGAGAATTAAAACCTAATCAACAGAGGGAGCCAAAAGATTGAAACTGATAAATAATTCTAGTATGGTAAGTAGGTAAGTAAACAAAGAGTAAGAAATAAAATGATTTTTCTTAAGTACTGCCTTCAATCTATTCATATTCAATTATTCATAAAATACAGTAACAATATAAATTTTAGACCCGAATATAGATGTAATTTCTAGAAAAAGGTAATAAAAGTGTACCTGTTATAAAATGTATTTGGTATGCTATCAGTAGATTCTTCTTATGTTTACAATATTTTTAAACTTAGTACTACAGTCCAATTTTATGTTAGGGATAAAAGGAAAATAATTCCATGTTCTACGAAAACCTATCACAAGTGTAACTGTTATACCATCAATGTGTTATTATTGGATTCAGCTATATTAACAATGGTCTGGGTTTAATATTAAGTCCTTCACATCTGTGATAAAAAGAGGACTATAAAATCTGAAATGTCATCAACAATCAATCAAAGAAGAACAAATATCAAGAACTTAAGTTACTGCCATCACAAGAATTTATGTAGATAATGATATAAACTCATTACATGGGGAAGATTTCTGTTCCACTGTATTTTTTACCAAATTCACAAACTTTCAGAAACCATTTTTTAGTTTATGCAAAACTACTGAAACTGTGACCAAAATCTTGTGAATGAAATAAATAATTCAGTCTTGAATGTTACTAAAGATTTGACTTGAAAAACCTCATAGTTTGCATAGTACTTACCTTTATATCGTATGGTAAACATGGAAACCCAAATGTCGGACATATACCCATTGCTAAAAATAAAAACCAAAACTACTTAAAAGTACCATATTGGAAATCATAACTTTAATAAAAAATGGTTATTTTGAAACATACAAAAATTAAACTTATAACAAAGATTCATGACTGACCACAAAATACTTTAAAATGGTAGTTGTACATTTTTAAATTCATAATAATTTAGCTCTATTGCTAGTTAGTATTTATTCTCTTGCTCATATACTCACAAATCTCAAATACACACAACTTGTTAACTCTAACAGAATAAGTAAGAAGAAATGGTATACTCTTCACCTAAAAGGTTTAAACAGTAAATTATGAAAGAACATTAACTCTACTTAGGAAGTTAGTCATCATCCAGAACTAGCGATCAGGATGGCAAAACAAGTTGTAGATACAAGTTATTTAGTTGAAAATATAAGTAAACATAATTCTCTGGATGCTCATTTTTTTAGACAGGATCTTTAAAGTATACATTTTCATAGGATGATAATGGACTGTTTGGTTGGAAAATCTTTGAGATCTATCATTGCTTTTATTTGTAATGAAAGTACATAGAATTCTGTACTTATACATCTTCATCTTATGACAAGCCAAAAAAAGAGACACAACAGTAGTAATGTAAAGTAACTTTCACACTGAAATAACATTAAATATTTGATAACATTTTTTACATGCCAGTTTTTATGGATTCAGATACTAGTGAGACTTTGAAGTTATAAGAAATTACATCCCACACACAAAACATAATTTTAATATTAGTTTGCAACACAATTCTTCAGATGTTTTTTTTTTTGCCAGTAAGTCATAAAATAGTTTTAAGTTATAAAAAATATGTTATGAAAAGAATATGGAAAAAGCAAGATATTCAGAAATATTTCCAAATAAGGTTGAACTAATTTAGTTTTAATTTGTAAAATATTTTATATGTGTATGAGAGACATTTCATCAACTATGTTTTAAATTTATTATTCAAATTGTTTGTATGTTTTAATGCAAAGCCATGCACTGAGCTATCTGTACTTTGTCTACTGCAAGGAAACAAACTCTGGATTTTGGCATTATGAATCCATAACCTTAATGCCAATCCACTATAGGGAATATTATTAAAAATTAATGTGAAAAGTTATATTTGTAAAAGTTCTTGCTGAAGAATCTTACAAGGTAACATTTGTGAAAAACAAAATAGATTCATATTTTGATTATACACAATATAACATTTTTCTTTAGGTTATTAAAATAATACATAAATTAACGTAAATACATAAAAACAAATTTAATAAACATATGATTAATTATGAAAGGTTTGAGCAGTTATTTTTGAAAATTCCATTAACTCTTTCAATACGAGATTGTTCAATGTGATGACCTTGTAACCATTTTGTGCTTGTTATAGTTTTCATGCCATAACTTTTAAATTAGTAAGCAAATGTTAATGAAATTTGGCAGTTTTTCAGTAAACATTACAATGCTTTAATACTCAAAATACCTCATTTTTTTTATAAAGTCGTAAAGTTTGTAAAGCAATGTTTCTCTCATGTCTTTTTTCTTTTCACATCTTGCCTATCTATCATGCAAAGTAATTTTCATTTTAAGATTGAAAATACTTTTCTGCATCAGAAAATTTTGAAATTTCACATGCAAAATCTTTATAATGTGCGGATAGTTATGAAACGTCTTTTTGCACGTGGAGGATATGAAACAAAATACTTTTTTTTAGGTTTTATATA